CATTTGTTCGAATATTATTATAAATGGTTGATATTCGATCGTTTCAATAATATTTTCATATGTTTTAAATATAGTGCCTAATAAAACGAGTTCAAGCGATATAGTACTCGTTTCTCATCCCAAAAGTTCTAAAAGCTTAAGAAAATGGTTTTCCAATTCATACTACAGCGTGCATATATCCAGATATAGAGGACGAGGAAACCGCACCACTCGACCTTCTAGTACCCTGATATCCTTTATTTACACGCTCTGATAACAAAGCTGCACTTAAACTACTGAAGCTCCGAATGATAAAGTGGTTTTCAAGCATGAAAAATTACTTACTGTGTTAGAAATAAACACGTAATCATATTGCTACATTGAAACACGATGAAAAGAGAGAAATGTTGGAAAAGAAACAATAGAGAAATAAATAAAGAAAGCAATATTCAGGAAGATCTTCAAGAACTAAATTGCTTGAAGCTCCTTCAAAAGTTGCACTAGCTTTCCATTTTTAGCGGCAGCAGCTGTGTCATCACCTCCACCGAAAAATTTCTGGTTGATGAATACACGAGGAACCGTTCGCCCTCCGGTCAAAGCCTAAAAATTTATTTACTTTACATATTTATCATGCACGGAAAGTGCGCTGAACAAGAACTGTATTTATATAAAGTATTATATATATATTTTTTATATATTTATATTTTTATATATATTTTTGAAACATCTTTATTAAAATATATCTGGAAAACTATATAATCAGATTTCATGTAAAAAAATTCAAAAGGAATTTGAAAAAGAATGTAACAGTAACTTGTTAGTTTTGTTCTTATATAATGGCTATCGTGGCATTAAACCGATAAATGTGCAGATCAAAATTAGTTTTTTTTTCTACAGAGCAAAAGGGATCAGTAAAAGGGAGCAGATAATGAAAAGCAGCAATAACTCTGAAAATGACGTAGTTTAGATTAAGTTGATTATCGTCATAAGAACTAGAGCTTCTTTCAGAAGTCCAACTGGCGCAAGCCCATAAATTGAAAACTATCCATATGGTAAAATGTTTACACATTAATTCATACAAAACGAGTTTGCGTTGTTAATGGCGACGTTAGCCTATTTTAAAAGTTTGTTCAAAAATTAGCGGTAAGCCAACGAACCTGTAAATAATCCTGAATTTCTGTGCAATCAGGCCTTTTGTCTATATCTAGCCATGCCATTGCTCCTGGCTTAACATTACAACTTTCTAACGCTGCGCGAGCCTAGAATTTCCAGAGATATGATCAAAACTGTCGAAAAGCGATTGTTAATTTGGAAGTGAATAAAGTTGTACTTCGGTCTTTGTGAATAATTAAAACGATGAAGAACTTATTTAGTATAATTTAGCTATGACATTTCAGTAGTAGACCTCACCTTTTGGGAATAAGGGCAATAAGTTTTGGCGAAAACTACGATCTTATGAGTTTTCAGTAGTTTATCCACAAAAGCCTTCACAGCCATCAGACCTAGAAGAGGAAATAAAATCATTAAATCAAAATTGCAATGCAGCACTAATAAGTAGGGAATGTAGTTCATGCAATGAAAAAAATCATGAAGATAGGGATGCACGTGGAGATAAAAATGAAGAAGAATGCACAGCCATTTAGAGCTTTGTCTAGTGTTTCCCCATACTTAAGTGGTTTTCGTCGAAATTGTGGAGTTAGTATGTATAATCGGCAGGCTTCGTTGCGGATGCGACCTACCAGATGTCGTCGGCTTTCGTCAAAATTGTCATTAAGTTAGAATTGACATCAAAATGCGGAAATCTGCAAAAGAAAAGGCAGTTCCCTAAAAAC